ACCAGTCATTGAAATTAAATTCAATAAATACAAAGGAGCACAACTGAATGGTGTAAACATCAAACGAGACATCGACGGATTCAGACTGCAGAGGGGTTTGACGTTCATAGATAGAGCGCTTGACAAAGCTACCAACGAACTGTTTACAGAAGAAGCTGGTATGCGAAAAGATATCAGAAAGGTAGGATGCTTTTAGCTATTTTGGTTGACGTCTGTGCGTGATTCGCCGTGACTTGACAAATCCTTAAATATTGTGTCCTTAAATGCCGTGTCACACTAACTTTTTTCGTGGTAAACCACTATGTCAACATTTTGTGTAAGCAAGTTAGGATGTCCGTAACGGTGAAGTCATAGTCAAATAATATACACCACGGAAAACATTGAAATTCTCGGGAAACAAAACAAACCGTTTCCCTTGGGAACAGTCATTAGTGTTTTGTGAGTAAAAAAACATCAAAACGCATTGCAAGATGATTTCCAATAATACTTTATTGTAAATATAATATTGACCGTCGAGACAAAATAGCAAGATGTTGAGCGTTTAAATTACATTGTGCTTGGAAAATAAAAATAAATTCACATTCAAATTCACTTCAGAATTATGTCAGCGTAGCCACAGCCGTCTTTGGAGCTGTTTTAGTTTTTTATTCTGATGTTTACAATCATTTGGTCCATTTCTTGACTTGTAAGATTTTAAATCTTTTTTTTTGCTGCCGGCTCCATTTTGTAAACAGTCGAAAGCAGCAAAAACAATTCCCGCCTTTACAAACTTTCACTCGACGCGAGCCGGCCTTTTTCCGCGGTCAACAATCGCCAAGTGTTGAACAATCAGTCAACAGTTGATTTTAGCTCCGGACACGTGACACCGAATCGTTCAATAAGAGCGAGAAAGCAGTAAAAATAATTTACCAATATAACAATCTTCGTTGTGCTGTGAGGTTATCATGTTAACATATTGTGAGTTATCATGATGGTTTAATTCATTTCCGGTCGGCGAAGCACATGGCTTCCCTGACAACACAAACTTGACCACAGTAACCCAGGCTCAATAACTTAGTATAAAATATGTCGTTGGCACAATTTTTTTTTGC